ATATATATATATATATAAATCGATCGCTTTAAATACACTCCACTAACTTTCTTGAAAAGCTTCTGATGATTATTTTTCCATATTCTCTGTTTCACTGTCACTGTCGTCATTTAAATCCACCATTAGGTAATATGGAAGTGTCTAATCTTCCTTCCTTTTTATCAAATTTTGGAGCTTTGTTTCAATCTTCCTCAAATCAATTCTATGGTATTGAAAACACAAAAATAGGGGGAAGTTTCAGTATGGTGTGTACATATTTTTCAGCCGTACTCTCAAGGGCATACACTTTATTAAATGTGTTTGTCTGTGAAATTTCAAGTAGTTAGTTTTTGGTTTAGTAATCTTCAAAATATAAATTTTTATCCATTAAAAAACTTTGTATTTCATCTTTCCTCGAATTTTTATTCGGTACTTTGATGAGCTGTCGCTAATGATAGGAAGCGTTGTCAAGAACTATTAAACTATTCGCATCCAAATTTGGGATCAATGTGTTTTCAAACCATCCCTCAAAAATATCAGCTTCCATGTTGTCATGATAGTCAACATTGCAGTCCTCAAGTTTTTTTTTTTCGCATAATTTCAAAGAATTCGGAACCCATCCTTTACTTTCTCCGCAATGCACAATGATTAGTCGCGATCCTTTGTTTGCAGGCAAATTAGGCGTACACATCAGTCCACCCTTTCGTAACTGTGTCGTGAGTGTCATACCAAGTTTCGTCCAAATAGAAAATTTGCCGTTGTTCTTGTCTTTATTCAGTTATTTTTTCTAAGTATTCGTCACGCAATTCCACTATTCTTCTGCTTTCCAAAAGTGCTTGAAGTTTGTTTATTATTTTGAATCTAAATCCTGCTTTCTGTATCCAATTCTGAAGAGTTTTGTCACAGCAGCTCACGTTATGGCCGGAAGTATTTAATTTCTTCCTTATGATTTCAGTTGTAGGAATCCCATTGCTTTTGTAACAGTCGTATATTTTTTTAACGATTTTATTAGATGAACATCTAAAGTTTTGGTAATTCCGTATCACATCACCTCTTGCGTTCATAAGGTTTGTTTTTGACAATTTTACGTCACAGGAACTTTAAGAGTGCACAATATCGTTTACTTCGGCTTTACCTGTTGGGCTGTTTTGTGATTACTTTAATAAGTGTATAAAAGTGTAAAAATGGTTTACATTCTTCAAGAGAGAATTAAAATGTTTGTAAATTTTTGGAGAAGTTGGAAAGTGCTCACGAAGGGCGGCATGTCTTTTCAACGAATGATATCTAAATTATAACGTAAGTCATCGGTTTGCTTGATTTGGTGAATAAGTTTCACGAAACTGGTTCAGTGACAAAAAAAAAGAAATAACCCCAGAGTACTAAATGAAACACCTCAAATTGAAGTTTTGGAAACATTTGCTGCAGAGCCCACGAGCTCCTTACGATCACTATCAGAACAGACGGGAATGTCACGCGAGACTGTAAGAAAAGCATTAAAAATTCATAAATTTCATCCTTATAAATGCAGATTTTTCAAGAGCTCTACGAGAATGATTATGATAGAAGAATAGAGTTTTGTGAAATCGAGTCAATACCATCCCTAATCTTCTGTTAAACATCTGTTTCAGATATGAGTATTCATTTTTTCTGAATGGCAATGTTAATAGATCGAATTGTCCCTATTGGAGTGATGAAAACCCACATATTTTTCGAGAAGGGCATACACAACACCCACAAAAAGTTAATGTTTGAGTTGGTATTCTTGAAAATGCCATTATTGGTCCATAATTTCTGGAAGAAAACTTGACAGGTAATCTATACTTTGAAATGCTTGAAGATACTATAGATTACTCACGAGCTATTAACTCAAATGGATGCAGAAGGTAATGAACTTTTGCAGGAGGCCGTTCGGCAGTGGTTAAACGAGATATTTCCGAATAGATGGATTGGCAGAAGGGGAGCAGTTGAATGGCCTCTGAGATCACCGGATTTAACACCCTTGGATTTGTTTGTTTTGAGTCATCTCAAATCCGTTGTTTATAAAACACAAACTGATATTAAAGAACTTAAAAGACGAATTACAGCAGCATGCCTGTCAATTCCTAGTAAAGTTTTCCGTAATGTTAAAGGGGAGTTCGAAAACAGACTTTACTACTGTTTAGAATAAAATGAACGGTATTTCGAACATTTTATAAGATAAGCGTAAGTAAATTTTATGTTTGAAATGTCTTTCTCGCAAATTAGATTTTATTTTGTGAAAGGTCAATAACCAACAAATAAAAATTTCCACGCGTGCGTAGTACATTTATTTTATGTCATTCAAGGGTTGGAACGGTGCTACTTACTCTTCTAACCATTTTTATTAAAAATGGAGTCAATACAATGATTCATTTCAGAACAGGCTAATTCTAATTGCATGTGTAAGTTTAGAACGCTATTTTTCGTTTCGGAAACTGCTCATCCAAAAATTAAACGGCAGGATACCATAGGAGAAAGAATTGAATGCCAGTCATAATGATGTGCCACTTGACATCCTTTTCCATTTAAAATTCTAAGGGTAACATCTAGCCCTCCTTGGGTGTTGAACTACGAGGACTACAAATTTTCCTTGAAAGTGATCCCCTTGACTATAAAATCTACCTTTTTTTTCGATTCCTCATATTATTTACTGAAAGGAAGATATTGAAAGTGGAAAGTTTTTAAATTGACACCTTGTATATGCCACTACATTAAGTTAAAGTGAAATCTATCTTGTTTTTAATCTATAGCTGAATGTTAGATGCCGATAGGAATTGGGAGATAATTTTTATGTTTGATAAAATTATATGTTGAAAAAATATCGTGGAAGGATAGAGGTAGATTTGTTTGGATGGTGTACAAGTTATTGGAGCAGGCCATGGAGATAATACATCAGAGTCTGTATTTCGCTGCATTTACATCGGTATTTCTCTTATTATTTTATGCAGACGCCCTTTATGGATTATTATTCTATACTATGCATATATTCACAATTTCTTTGCAAGAATAGGTATTCGGTAACATTGAACCACGGTGTTTCGTGAAGTTGTGGTACAGAGAAAGTAAACTTTGCCTTTCAAGTGCCTCTTGCCTTCGTATTGGTTGATCCAGTTTGGTCAGATATTGTTTTTCAGAAAAGCCTGAACATCCCTATAGAGAGCCCAAATACAACGCGTTAGCGGTGATAGGCTGAACCACGAATGAGTTGCTGAATCCACTGTCTTTAAAGGACTAGCCTAAATAAGCAACGTCGACGATATCGTCCCTTACGAAGACGTTATCTATGGGATCGACAGTCGCAAAACCAAGCGTCAACATCGACCGCCGACAAGATATGTTCTCTGCCATTCACTGCAGCTTTCACTGCAAAGTAACTAGTTGATATTGATAATTCATTTTTCAAATCCCGAAATCAACAAATTTCAACCTTTTTGACATATCTTTGGAAGTAAACCGAATTTTTCAATTTTCTGAATAGCATGTTAATAATCCTTAGAATTCGCAACTTTTCTCTAATTCAACCATCTTTATATTTGTAGTTTGCAGTGGACCATGATAGATATTATTATCTTCGATATATTATAAAAAACTTTGAAATACGTTTTGAGAAGTACCTAAGCGACCAGCCTCAAAGACTTGAATTTCATAAATAGAATTCTATACGAAAGTTATTACACCTCTATTATTCTCGACATTATACCGTGCCAAGAAACTAATCAATCTTAATCTTATCATTTTCGCTATTTCCTCTTCCTGAATGGTTATTCAGTTGGCTTCGATTTCAAAGTTGTTCTATTGTAATGGTTCATCTGCTAATATCAATAATCTTAATGGTCTTAAAATTATTTGTTAGAGACAAAACGTGTTCCTTTCCCGAAGGGGAGGAGAACACGTTCAATTTTTGTACTTCTAACTATTTAATTACATGTTAATTTTGTTAAAATATGTTACAGTTCCAATAAAACCTATCAAACAAGAACAGAAATATGTACATATTTACATTATATTCTCTGTATGAAATGCTTTATTTTATTTATTATGATTTTTTCTGTATAATCCAATAATCCGGCACCCTCTTGTTTTTAATAGTGCCGAATTAGTGAGATTCTCCTGTACTTTCAAAAGTGAACAAGATTTGGTTCGTAATTTTCGATATATAATAGTTTTGAAGATTGAGTAATTCAGGATATTCATCTTTGTTTTCTGAACTATTGAAGTTGTTGAAAAGTAATTTGTTCACCTCCCCATTTTTTCGAAATTTATTCTCGTTGATGAAGTTGTCAATTTTTTTTTGAATATTTTTTGAACTAATGGTTTGTTTGAAGTTAGTTTCGCTGAAATTTGTGGTAAATATTAGGAAGTTGATGACATTTTTTTCAGCAGTTTTAAGTCGAGATACATGATAAATTTGTCAGATAAATTATCTGAGGTTGATGCACTGGACTGATAGTCAAGTCAATATATCACTTTTTCGGGTTTTTGGAAAATATTTCCGTACCATTTATAATATTTTTTGGTCATGATAATTTCCGCCCTGCTATATACAAAATGCATATCTCTAAAAAAGACAACACCAAACAATCAGTCAACAAGTTATATTTCCAAATGTTCCGACAAAGAACAAGTTCAAAAAACCATGACATGAGATGTACCATCTCCAATGGTACATAACTTCAGCTGAAAATATGTATACATTGGCTAGTTATACCATAATGCAATGTTATTCCACATCTGTTAATGGAGTTGCAACAAAAAATGTTGGAAATATCCAACATTTTTTTTTTTATTCATAAGGCACCTATTACAATTCTTTATGAATTTGAAGCTACTTGAATAAATCTTCAATTGACAATCCATACGTTACGACTTCACGTTTTCATCAACCTCGAATCTATTAGGTGAATGTTACTGGAGTTTTTTCCCAACACCAAACCGTTATTTTTAACACATCGAAACGTGTTTCAATCACCAAGTGATCGTCTTCAAGAGGAAGATTAAACTGTGTATAAGGTGTTGACAAACGTTTACAAGGTGGAACAATTAAACTAAGTGAATGAAGGAAACCACCAGGGTCTGAATTGCGCAATACGCATTTATTGACACTAAGCAAATTATTTTATCCACATCGAAAGAATCTTGCTTGTATAAATAGGGTTTATTACTCTCTCTCAGTTTTGAACAAACCATGGAATTTTCATCAGTTCGGACTTCCATATCTAATATGATATAAATGGATTTGAAATCCCTGAAAGAATCTGTAAAAAAAATACATACAAGCAACAACCAAAAAACAAAAAAAAATTAACTATTAACACCAGCTGAAAAATTGAAAAATAATTACCAAGAAATGAAAGTTAAAAATATAAAATTAAAAGATTCCAAACCAAGTTATTTCACGAAGTTTTGATTGTTAGTTCGGGTGATAACTATGGAAAATGAAGTCGGTGAGGTCAGCGGCTGACTAAACTTATCACCCGAAGACGATTGTGGATACTATCATTCGAAACGTCGTGAAGTAACTCGGTTTGGAATCTTTTAATTTTATATTTTTATTTTTCATTTCTTGTTAATAACTTTTTTAATTTTTCAGCTCGTGTTAATAGTTCATTTTTTTGGTTGTTGCTTTTTAATTTTTTACAGATTCTTTCAGGGATCATATTAGAACTGCACTGCACCACAAAACATTGTCAACCACCTTCAAACAAAACTATGGAAACTTGCAATATTCAACATTACTGAAAAGTTGAATGTGATCATAAAAATACAGACTCCTCATTCAAATTATTGTGAATGTAAAAATTACACATTCAAATGGCGAACGTTTACATATTTCAGTCACGCCCATATGCTTTGAGGCTTGCCGCGATATTTAAGCCTTATGCGTACTGAGGAGAACGTGTGCATAAAATTTGAATATAAATCGCAGTAGGTCTCTAATTATACCACCGATTATAGGTTGGAAGCAGTTATTTGTTATTTGCTTACTTAAAAACATCTGACATAAGGGAAATTGACCTAATGGAAAATGTGGTCGGTGAGGTCAGCGCTGACTAAACTTATCTCAACGGATTCGATATGCAGGAGGGGAAGGAAAACCGAGAGACACTGATTATACGAGGAATAATAAAAAAAAGTAGAACGATCAACATACACTGCGTTACGACTTTTCGCGTTGAAATCATATATACAGTGAGTGATGGACGTTTTTGTCTGAAGGAAAAAAACTAAAAAGTAGGAAAAAATCTACGTGCTGATTGATTTCATCATTTCATTGGGTAAAAAGATTTTTTGATATATAGACATTTCAGTTCCACAGTAATAATTACTTCATAACGTTTTTATTGTTGAACTGGTGCAATACTTCAATATTACTAAATGAACAAAAATGAAAAAAACATATTAAAAATTATTCTCACTTAATGAATTGATAGTGGTCAGCATTCGAATGGACTATAACTTTTTATATTATTTTTTATACTTGTTCGAATTACAGTATTTTGAATTCAAAAATTAATTTTTAGCCGCTTGGTACATTTCTAGAATCAATTTTATAATTGTGAACTACTCTAAAATTTTCTCCTCTTTCATTTGACATTGTAGTCAAATGACACACATAACCATCCCTGTTGTCTTTGCCGTGGTTGGCTAACAAAGCCAAGGTGTAATTTATTAATTACTCATCTTGAATCTATCCATTCCCGGAAAAAGTTCCCAAGTGGTTTTCAAAATTAATGGACCAGGTCAAGATTCAGAATGAAACATTAAAAAAAATATCTATAGTGACTGATACCTATTTTGAATTAAACAAACTGTAATTTCATGTTATCTGTGACAAAATCTCAATGAATTATAAATCAAAAAATATGTCCTACGTATATAAATTCATTTAGCCGCTGGCTGAATAATCCTAACGATTAGGACTCAAATTACTATAAAATCTTAATGATAAGAATTGAAATTACTATAAAAGAATGACATCAAAACACGTGTTGTGGTTTTATAAACTGTCAAGTGGAAATCTCACATTGAAGTGTTGTAATAGATTTTCGTTAAGTATCTGCCAGTTTTATTATATATTTATCAGAGTAGTTCAAAAGAAAGTTTAAGGAAATGAATATTTTGAAGGCAATTGAAGGCAACTAAACCTACGGCAATTGAAAAAAAGTGATGAAAATAAGTCCTAAAATATGAGGTCATATTTACGCGACCCATAGATTGTTCTATCACAATAGGCTACGATAGCCGTGGGTCCGGTTGAAATTAGAGAATATAGATTAAAACTGTTCTGGATCTAGTTCCTTTAAAATTAAGTATGCAGATAATAGCAGACCTACTATTACAATAGTTACATTTCTCTCTTTTTGGTGGATTGGGAAGCAGTAGGAAGTGGTAAAGTATGAATTTTGACTATTCGAGTTCTTCTTTATAAATTTGTGGAATCTACAGGTCTGATAAACCTAACTCCTCAACATCAAAGTGCCGCCAAAGGAGTGTCTCTTCTTTGAATAAATATCCTATGAGTAAAATGAAAAAAAATTCAAAACGTTAGCGCTGCTGAAGGCTTTGTTACATTCGACACCTGTTTTTATTAACACCGTTCTCTTCTACAGACATTAAAATGATTGACAATATGTTAATTTCATTATGCTAAAACTTAACCCATTCGTTCTAGTTCAAATAATCGGTCAGACAGAATATCTTCAACTCACATTACAAAACTTAGCGATACATTCTTCGTTGGATCAATAAGTGAAACCGAATGTGTTTTAAGGTTCGGTCAGGCTTTTCATTCAAGACCAAAATAAATATTTATTCGAACCGTCTGTGTTTAGAGATTTTGCTGATTCAATTGCGTCGGAATATAAGACGTGAAAACCATAAAAATGGACTTTATTTACAATGAATATCATTTATTTATGATGTATTGACTACGGAAATTCAATCAATGGTACTGAATATGAGTTTACTTTGCAGAGTCGGTGTTAGGACACCAAATCATAAAAGAAAATAATTCAAAAATCTTCATTGTCGTGAGAATTTATCCAACGCGATATTAGCCTATCGCGTTGCTTCTTGAGATATTCAAACACAGATATCAGCTTTTTGAATATTAATACACGTTCTTCATAAAATCATAAAGCTGTTATGATTAAGAATAAAGAAGCGTATTCTGCAGCTCCACGTTGTTTAGAAACTGCCAATGACGCTGACCAGGGTAGTTTTGATGACCTAATTTCTACAAGGTATCAATTTTTTTAATCAATCAGCAAATAAGAAGAAGAAAATCTACTACTTAACTAATGTTAAGACATCACTAGTCAGACAGTCGCTGGGTAGGAAAATTATACGTTGCGGTAAACTAGTATTACA